AGAGAGAGAGAGAGAGATAATGCAACAAGGATGTTGTCAAGGTGTGTTTTGTCACATACACTCCTCTGCCAGCAGGGGGCAGGAGGCCTCCACGCTGAGACGCTCATCCTTTTCAGAATAAAACTTCCCCAGGTTCAATATTTATAAAGAGATAAGAGATTATAAATTGAGAACATCTGCATGTAATGTAGCAAAACCCCACATAAAGCCAACTTTTGCCATCACTTAATTTGCAGATTTACCACCTTTTCATAATGGTTAGTGTTAAACAATATAACAGAAGTCTGACAAATGAATGGTGGCTCACAGCTAAAACTTCTCATTTTAGACAAAAACCACTGTGAAATTAGAAACTAGCAGGGAAAATAAGTCCCCTGATAATCATGAGGACTTTTTCCATTTATCCTGTTCACATTTTATTTGCTGAGCTTGTGTAAGTGATTGTGTCTAGCATACCCTCAGGGCCACCAAAGCCAATTTATCATCTTTGACTCGGTTAGCACTTAAAACGCTTGCTCTGGTTGATAAAATCTGAACAGCCTTTGGTAAGAAAAGAGATGCAGCCTAAAAATATAAATAAAAATTGGAAATGAAAAGAAGTGGAGGGGATGGAGTCCTCTGTAACAACTGTGCCCCATTTCCAGTAGAATAACTGCTAAAAATAGTAAAAAATTGAGTATGTCCTTGTATTCATGTTTAATTTAAAGAGGGTAGAAAAGGCACTGAAAAAAAAATCATTTATAGTTTAATTTGAAATTTTATCAAAGTAGGACTGATGTTCTGGTGTCGAGCAGGTGTTTAAATGCCAAAATTATTTTGAAAGGCAGAATTTCATTATATAGAGGAAGAGGAACAAAGGAGACTTCTGTCCCAGCATGCTCTCGAGCCAACGCCAAGACGTTTGACATAAAAAAATCACTGTGGCTACAGCAGAGATTATCACACTGCATCTCTTTACCAGCCGCTGCTGTGGTCCTCAGGGAGCAGGACTGCTATCAGTATCATGAAGCCCAGACACTGAGAGCCCATTAGGAGATGAACGATCCACCCGCCTCCGCAAACCCCCTCCCAAATCAGATCTCCCATGAGGCCGAGGGGGAGAGGAGGAGGTGAAGAGCAGAGCAGAAGGAGAGGAGAGGGGGGCGAAGGGTGGAATGTAGACTCGCCATGTAAGCCATTTCTGCAAATACTGTGCCGGTGTGTGCGTGTCTCACCTCCATGGAGATCCGTCGATGGATGCGGTTCCTCAGACAGACGCCGGTAGGAGATTGCACCTCATCAGAAGACGTTCCCGACGCCTGGTCGCTCTCCCCATCTGAGCCCATCTTCAGGTTCTCATGCACAATATCTAAGACAGAATGGGAATAACAAGATACATTAAAAGACACAGAAATGTACAGAAATACATGTTACTAGATATTTATTAACAGCTACAAAGTCACATTAGATAAATCAGACTAAAGCTGACCCCTTATTACAAATCAGATCTGGTCCAGTCTGTCTAATATGATGGACAGGTTGCATTGATTGATTTTACGGTAACACTCTGAATCCCCATTTAGCATTCATAGGCACTACATAAACATTTCATACAGTAAGTAGTCCACCATAAACTATACTACTGTAATGTAGTCGTAAAAAAAAAAAAAAGTTCTTATATATGCCCAGTATTTGTCAACATTTATTTCTTCTCTTATGAATGCTTATACAGTGCTTTAAAGTGCTGAATTGGGAGATGGGACACAGGATACGTGAGGCAGCCATCAGCTGTATGCAAAATGACTGGTTTTGTGCAAGCGACAGTGCAAACCAAGAGATATTACATTATCAGTCATATAAAACGCAGCATATTGCTGGAGCCACAGCTGGAGGCAGAGAACGTTTGTTGTTTTTCTTGAAGAATGACTGAAATGATTACCCAGTGTTACAGTTGTTTACAGTTAAATCTCTGTCAATCAACTATTCAAATAACTGCGTAAACATTAGCTGTATGTACATTTGTATTTAAATGGAATACCTGGGGAATATTTCCACTGGAAACAAATATTAGCTTTTGTACTGGCCCCTTGGACCACATTCTCTCTCACTCCCTACGTCTCTCTCCGCCTCTCCTCTCACACCCTTGTAACCCCTGAGGCCAAAGATTAAACACTCCAACCTGCACCACTTCCTCCAGGGCAGTAAAAGCTACCACTACTACCATAGCACAGGAGGAGCAAACACACTGATATCCAAACCACATGCAACCCCCTACTCCACACACACACACACACACACACACACACAGTTAATGAGTAGCTATGGCTGAGCAGTTCTCTGTCATCAGTGTGTCAGCGCCTCCAACCATGCAGTCTGTCATCAGACGTGAAAGCACAGAGCAGAGAAATGAGGAGAAAGAAATCTCTGTTCTGTTGATGGAGATTAACTGCTGGCAATTATTTCAAACATGATAATCCTGATTATTTCTCTTGATATCACAAAAGATTATTAATTAGAATTGTTAGCTTAGGTTTTATGAAACAATGACTGTAGTTTTGCACACGAATAAAGCTCTCTTACTCTATTCATGAGTCTTATTGACTAACTTCACTTCATAAAGTCCGACTTCATTACCCTGCGGTGCAGCCACAACCCAAAGGAACACTTTGCCCCAGAATGTGAACCTGTCTGTGGCCATTTGGTTGAAAACCAAAGTCTCCTCAGATTAAAGGAAATGCTGATCCACTTTTAGAAACTGAGATGCTTTCAGGATTTTCCTGTGGGGCTGACCCGTTCTATTCCACTCTGCATGTCACTCTGTTTTTCCACAGATGGTTGGGGTTTCTCTGCTGCATCTTCATCTGAACTTTGGTTTTGGTTACAGAGGAAGAACGTGATACATTATGGCAGGTCTGTCAGTGGAATAAATCCATTGTAATTCACCATCATAGAGAAGGCAAGAAGACGTCTGTCTTGTTAAAAAAAAAAAAAAGACAGGAAGAAGAAGAAGAAGAAGAAGAAGAACAAATTATTGTAACGATCCCATCTGGAAGAGATGGTTGACTTTTCTTCTCCCCTCTCACTGCTTCTCAACCTATCTTTCCTCAAACATCTATTTTTCTCCCTTTTGCCTCTACAACCATCTTACATCCATCCATCCCCTCTGTTCCCCCGGGGCCTCATTGATTAACAATCCGTACACACTGTTTGTGCATAAACTACACATACACTCACTTCTATGCGTAGAATCAGGTCATCATTCAATCTATTATAGTGACGCACAGGTGTAATGGCTCGTACACCATTTCCTACATTTCAGACAAACAAACCCTAACTAGTGACTGAATGTCAACAATCGCTTTTTATTTGAAAAACAAGTAAAACCATTTCTTTCAGAGTGAAATTATACAATTAAAGTTAAAATAATTTCATGAATTAAAACAGTTTTTGATCATTTGTTTCAGTAATAGCCATTCAATTTATTCACATTCTGGAGTAACCTCTCTATACAGTAGTTTCCTTTATTAGTGGCGGAGTCCGCCATTCTCACACAGGGTTGAAACTGCCTACCCAAGCACAAAGGATTCACAGGAAATGATGCATGTATGAAATCCAGCGCTTTGAATTTTATTTTTTGTTTACTGTTCACTCTCCTTCAACTGTAGCAATATGTTACTACTAAGGCAAACTCAACATTTCCTACTGCTGCTTCATAATAAAAGCATTTAACCAGCTAAATACAGGGTGGCTTTTATTGTGACCAATCACAGGAAACACAGTGTATTTGTCTCAGAGGTTAGAACTAACTGTAATTGTTCATCCAAATCATTAAATTACCAGGGTAAGTTATCCACCTCCTGGCTTTATTGTACCCTTCTGTTGTGTGGAAAAGTACTTGTGCCACGAGCCGCATGTAATCAGATTGCGGTTGCTTGTGGCCTGATGGAAAAGGACAATTATTGATGGACTAAATTAGTTTATTTGGCTGCACTGTAACCACATCAGCTGCTCTTCTGTTGTATTTCTGACAAATTAGCTGTTCCAAGAAGTCTGTCTGTCTACAAGCAGAACAATCTGTGTACAAGCAGATGGGTGCAGGTGAGATTTATCATTATTCACTGCATAAAGGTGTGAGTATGTTTTATAAATACAAGCGGTTTTGTTCTCTTTGAAAACTTCCAAGAGATCCCCCCCTACTTTTTTCTCTCTCTTCTCTGTACCTCATTTACATTTCTGTACTTCAAAAACCTCACCAATGTCTTTCACTTCCTAATTCTGCCTTTCTTTCCCTTTCACTCTACATATGTCTCTTTCACTGCTATCATGTTTTCTCTTTTGGAAGGTTTTCACAGGCAGCAGCCGATCTGACTCTATTGCTTCAACACATTCCTTCGCTACCTGCGCTTTTTCTAACTTGTGTGCCTCTTCTCCAATGCCTCCAAATGATCTCATCTGTCCTACTTTTCTTTTCCTTTCAACCTCCTTTTACTTTCACCCACTTCTCCATTATCTCCTGCTATTTCATATCTGCCCTCATCCCCTCCTAAAACTCCCAAAATTCTTTCTCTCAATTATATTTTCACTTTCCCCCATAATTTCTTCACCTCCCAGCCAAACCCGATTCCTTTTTCTTATCTTCCTACACTGTTTTTCTTTTGCTTTGACACGTCTCTTGTAATCTCTTGCCTCACTTCTTCCTCTCTCCGAAAACCTTGAGGGATTTCATTCTCCACCCATTTTTGAGTTTTATTTCCTGAACATCTACACACATCCTTCCTTCACTCCCCCCCCCCCTTTCTTGAGAGTTTTTTGTACTTGAGACTTTATGATCTTGCTCTCTCCCTACCAATCTGTCTCCCTGCTGTCTTTAGCAGCTTTGCTAATAAGCACACGGAGTGTAGCAGCAATATGTGGTACATCAATGTCCTACTTAACTGTCCTGTTTTTAGATCCAAGTCCCTCTATCTAGGCCAGGGTCCAGTGCGAGGCTCAATAAGATCACCCATCTTCACAATTAGCTTAGAGAAGCACTAACCAGGGTCCACATATTTACTGAAATAATGAACATTATATCATTACTAACAGAAACTCTAAATGGCAAACTTTTAACTGACTGTTTGCACAGATATGGGGAAAAAATCATTCAACAATGTTTGTTTAAGGTTTAAGGCAGCATTTGTCTGGTACAGTGTAATTACCTAATAATGCCTGTCAATATTCTTAAATTAATATAGTAACCAAATTATCTGATCATAAAAACACAATTTGAAAATGATTAATAACAAGAGGAGTCTACAGCCATGCTCTGTGAGGCTGCACTGCTTTGAGCTAATTGCTATGATCATCATCTTAATTTTGCGTGTAAGAATGCTCACATTTGCTAATAAGCACTTCACACAAAGTAATAACAACTTTTGAAAAAAAAAAAAATTCGGAGATGGACATGAATGTCACGCAATCCTTCCAATACTCGAGACAATTCACTCAGAGCTGCAAATGTCAGCCTCATAGTGGCTCTACAGAAAAGGTCGGGGGATTGATCCACTAGGAACCATGAATGCCTGTACCAAGTTTTGTTTGTCTGGTAGATGTTGAGATAATTCACTGGATGAACTAAAAATTATTCATACTATTTTCTAGATTGATCAACTAATTGTTTGATCTATAAAATGTGAAAACTGTCCATTACAATTTCCCAATGTCATGTCTCAAAATTCCTTCTGTTGTCTGACAAACAGTCAAAAAACCCCAAGTGTTCTGATTTACTATCACATAAGACAAAGAAAGCAACAAATATGGTCAACAAGACATACGACATGTCATCATCTGAGTAAAATAATGAAGACATGATGCTTTTTGAAACGCTGGTTGCTGCACTATAACATACCATAGGCTTTAAATGTAACCATGTGCTCATCGCTCCAGATCCTGCCAGGCTTGCTTGACTAAATATTCAAAAACCCTAGAGGCTGGTAGATTTTGATATCCATACCACTTTGTTCCTCTGTTTCATACCGTCCCCTGAATCATCTCAACACCCTCTTGGTTGTTGCCCGACCCCCAGCTTGAAATCTGCTGCTGCTTTGAATCATCAAAACATCGTCTTCCCTACCAACCCTCAGGATCGGACTTGTTGCTACCGATCCATTGTGGTGAATCAGTTCACGCAGGAAACTGCGTCATGTTTGACTGAATCCCCCATCCAGCTGTCACTCGGGTGAAAACAGCCCTGCTGAGGGCGAAGAGAGAGGCTGCCTCATGGATTTGTGAATATAAGAAGCAGGATGGAAATATCAGGACCGTGACACGTTTCCTGTTTGTCCCTGGATGCCATCTGCTCTCCCACTACTCACTTCCTTCCGTGTGTGTGTGTGTAAGTGTGTGAACACGTGTGTGTGTGTCTCACCCAGGCGACTGCCGTTGCGTGGCATTGCCATGAAGGACCCCAGGGTGCCACCGATGACGCTGTGCGGCCGGCGTAGGGGGGGCTTCTTGAAGGAGCCTGTGTACTGGTGCAGGAAGGAGTGCATGCTATGGGAGGTGGGTGGGCGGCCGTTCCTCATGAAGGGTTCTGAAACACAACAAAACAACGTCTGTCAAAAGTGTGTGGTTTTCTGAACATCAACAGAGGCTCTGCAGTTGCATCACAAATCTCCAAAAACCCCCATCATGCACCAACGTGGTGAAACTAAATCTCAGCTCTCATTTCCTTTACCCCCTTGCAGTGAGTTCTTTATTTTAAATGCAGGCTGTGTGGCCAAGCTTTGTTTAAACCAACAGAACTTTATTTGACATTTAAGTCAAGGTCCCAACATTTCCAAAAATACCAAACATGAGGCTAAATTATGGAGGAATGTAATACAAATATTCTTATGAAAAGAAGAAAATGGTTGTAGCACTGGAGAACTGATAGCCAAAGGGCAATTATGTTACTTTATCATTAAGCAAGACATGAGTCTCACTCATGGGCCTCAATTAGCAATCCAATTTCAGCTACACTCGTACAAAAAGGCCATAACGCATCCCATAGTGATCTGCATTAGACAGGCAATGAGTCTGTGGCATCTTGTAGGTTAAAGTTTTTACCCCTGCCAACTTCCCTCAACTCATCTGACCTTTTAAACTGTGATCTGACAGGCTGTGCTGTGTCTGCACACATCAACTCCAAAATTAATATTATGCTGCCTTCAGGTGATATAATAAAAATGATATAAATATATACCTGAAGACATTTATGTCAGGGCTAGTTGGTATTTTCAATACTTTTATGAGCAGAGTATGGAAACCTTTTTAGCAACTGACATTAAAATGATACGATATTTCCTATTTATTATTTGCTTTCTTGCCAAAAGTTAGATGAGAAAATATATACCACTCTGTCTATACGCTAAATATGAAGATACAGCCAGCAGCATAGCTTAGCACAAAGAAGGGGGCAGGGGGGAACAGCTAGCATGGAACTCTATTACTGCTGGCTACTAATGTTGAACTGAGGCTTATTCTACTGCTGTATTTATGGGAAGTCTGTCTGGATGTGGAGCGACCGTGGAGCCAAATAAATGCAATGGGAAACTTTCTGTAAAAGATGGATGTGTGCGTCCATTTATTCTGGCAGCTGTCAATCACAAGTGTCAGCCAATCATTTTCATGCGTCGATCACACCAGCAGCTTATTGGAGACAAACTCCAGACAGACAGACCGGACATACTGCGGTGCTGAAACAGGAAAGAATGTTATATAAGAAATAGATGTCAAGGAAAGTGCGTTTTTGTGTGAATGCTCTTTCCTATATACTACCTGTGTGTGTGTGTGTGTGTGTGTGTGTGTGTGTGTTCAAGTAGCTCCTTTGCTGTTACTCCTGTTACATAACTTAATAGAGAGCTATTCACTGGAAGTCCATTACAGCTGTTACTGACGCTCACTGTACACTCTTCATCAACTTCAGTGCTTCATAATTTAAATACCCCTGAGAGCTACCTAGATACTGAAAGCTCTCTGTGTGCGTGTGCGAGTGTGTGTGTGTTATTTTTTGCATGCCTGCTGACGGACAAGTACAGGAAGATCTTGTTAAAATCCTACCAGTGGAATTTCCTTCCCTGGTTGGACTGTGGCACTGATTCTCTAGAACCAGTTTCACGTTTTATTCAGCGTGATTTTACTCAAAACTGAAGCTGTTTTATAAAAAGTATTTCTTTAAAAAAAATCAGTTTCAAATGCTCAACTACATTTCAGTAGTCTTAAAAGTTTGTGTTTTCTGCTGAAAGAAAGAACATGATGATAGTATGAAGTAGTTAACAGTAAATTAGGTCCTTTTTCTAAAAAAACAAGTCTTCAAGTTGCACAAAATAAAAAAGAAATGGGGAAAAAAATACAAATGAGCTGCACACCAGAGTCCCATAGTAAAAATAATAATAATAACACGCAGAATTCTAACCATTGTCCTTGGTGCCACCATCCTCGATGGTCATCTGCTCGGCCAGTTCAGACAGAGACTCGTCGATGGTCTGACTGGAGCGGAGTGTTAACGACAGACGCTTCTTAATCCTCTTCATCTTCTCCATAGCAGGGCAGTGCACAGCCTGTGGGACACACAGGAACACACAGTCAACATTCATTCAGCAGGAGTTGACTGATACACAAGCAGACAAATGAGCACAATATTCTGAAGACTTTTTTTAATATTGTGCTCAGCGTGAGGGATCCCAGAAGCCTCCGTACAATCCAAAATATCTCCGCTCATGAATAACGTAAATCTGCTTTTAATCCAATATTCATTCACTCTGCAAATGCTTGAACAGCCTATGAATAAAGCATGGACAAAGCATGAATAAAGGATGAATATCACAGACTTGAATACAGGCGTTTTTCACTTACACACACATTCACGCATTTGTACAGGGAGAAATTAATGAGCTCTAATTGAATTGAAGGGGGAGAGAGTCAAATCAGGTCTGCAAACTCATGCTGGTGTTGTTTCAGACGAGTGTGTTTGTGTTGACGCAGCAGTCGTCCAGGTCACAGGAAACACCTTGCTCAAGCTGCCTCAAGCCAGTCACTGCTCATTGTGTTGCTCTGTTAACGCCCCATGCAAGTAAGTGTGTGTGTGTGTGT